AGTCTGAGGCAGGGAACCTCAGACTTGATCTTCTCGTCGATCCCCCATCTCCTCTGTAGGTAGCTAGCAGCCCTACCTTCTACTGCCCCTTCTAGTCTAGGGAATACACCTCTTCACATCTCTTGCTGTGTCACCTCTGGTTGCTTCGCTTCTCAGCACCAACCTCTGCATCAGTAAGCTTTGCCCTTGTTTGTTTTGGTGGCACAGCTCATTGGCTGTGACATTAGATCAAGTCTCTTACCCATCCCCTCCGTGGAGTGTCTCAACCACTTGCGGACCGGATCTCTCTCCCCAGAAGTTTTTTGAAACGTTTATCATCCCCCCCCACTATCCTTCCATCCGACTCGGACCTACCGGAGTTTACCCGTCATCACTCAAGAGACACGGTCACCTCGACGTCCAGTATCAAATTGACTGCACCCTTGCAGACGACATGTCAGATCGACTTCGTCATCGCCGTCAATATCGGCATACCCCTATCGTCCCTCGACGCAAGGCCCTCCCCCCATCTGTACCCTCTTCCCAGCCGCTCAACAGACCGCTCGCTGCACGTCTCACCACACCACCACCAGTCGTTGTCCCATCCACCCCTACGGTCCCTCTCCAGTACCGTATCTCTGCACCACCTATCCCCTCCTTCGCACGTCGTGATCCCATCGATCTCGTTGCCATCGTAGGCTCCAAGGTCAGTGCCATCATCAAAAGACTGCAGGCCATTTTCGATCGCAAGGACCAGTTGCTCAACATCCCCCACGACCATCGGCTCGCCCTTCAGCGCATCGGCGACAGGCTCGAGTGGATATTCGACAACATCGAGAACGGCTCTTCGTGGACACGCAGTTAGCAACAGAACATTGATTGGTTCTGTAAGGAGTTTGGGAAGGTCAAGTTTAGTGGACTTGGACAAAACTTTGAGCGTGTTGTCAAAGCTCTGGTCGAGTTAGAATGTTTTGGGTACTTACATTGGATTGTCGTTTAGTTTGTATCTCAGATATCTTTTACAATGGCTTCAGGCTCTCGTTACGCCCTTCTGGCAGAGGATGACTTTGAGTCAGACAACCCGGGCCCATCCAATCACCCGGGACCATCACAGGCACACACCCGCCCGGCTTCACCCGCGGCCACGCTTCAAGCGTACCCGGAAATTCAATGGATCTACGCCGGTGTTGAGTACGATTCGTTGGAAAACGCTATCCGTGCCTCGGCAGATAGCTTAGGCATCAACAACCAGGCTTACGTCGACTGGACTATCTCCGTAACAAGGGACATCACACGGCGCGAAGTGGTCAATGTCTACAACGTCCTCGGTGGCAAGATATATGAACATCGGAACGATTTCCTCAATGAGTGTGACACCACCCACGCCACCTTCAAAGAGTTGGACGTGTCTATGACAGGCCTTCACACCAAGGCTGACACTGCTGGGAACCTCGCTCTCAAAGCTGTGGAAGAGAACAAACAGTTGAAGGCGGAACTGGTCACCGTCAAAGCGGACCTGGAGGTTCTCAACCGGAACAATACGGAGCTCGTCAAACGGTAAAAGGAACTCGCGGCCAAGTTTACACAGCTGGAGCAAGGCCTGTCGACCCGCACCACGCTTGGTATCAGTACTGCCCCGGTCCCTGTCATATCACAGGCCTCGCGTATCTGTTGCAGCAAAGCGTGTCAGCACTCAAGGGGTCGTGTGCAGGTTATGCACAATGAGGACGCAGACTGATGACAAGCTTAGCACACTGGTTCACTGGGGGTCTGGGGGTTCGAGGTCGCTAGGGGTCTAGGGAGTGAGAACGCTTGATTGGTACAAGAGGTCAAGCTGGGGTGCCCAGTGCAAGACCTGTCCTTATATACTAAAGTACACGGTCGCTGACTAATCAGAGAACAATAGCGAATGGGGACAAAGGAGTCACATGGTGTTGTGACCACGTAGTACAATGGCGAAAAGAACAATAGCAATGAGAACAATGGGGATATGAAGCATGGTGTTGGAATCATGGTAGGTACGAGTGTCCGGGTTGTGCCGTAAGAAGAGGGAATGCATGGTAGAGAGGATATGAGGAGAAAGGAAAGAAGAGACGCCCCCACAGGGCGTTTGTAACACTACCCCCCCGCTATAGTCGAGCTACACCTGAAGCTCGTGAGGGACGGGATGCGCATACGTGGACTAGACGTCGTTCTCGTCGCTGAGCAGGCCAAGATAGTCGTCGATCTCGCATACCTCACCGTCTTCATCACGACCGTACTTCGACTCCTGCTCGTGAAGATAGGCCTCCCGCGAACCTCAGAACCCCTTCTCGAAGATGTCGTCGTCCGGGGCAAGGGAGAGGGGGTGCCCTAAGGCCGAGGGCAAGGGGGACGTGAGGCGGTCTTCGAGGGAACGTGCTGAAGACGGACGGCGAGGAGGGGGTGAGGCAGAACGCTCATGGTTTCTGGGCCTGGGAGGGACGGAGGATTGACTAGAGGACTGGGAAAGAAGTCCGCGGTGGTAGGATGGAGGTGAGAGGGGGTGCAAGGCAGGGGGAGTGTCATCGTCGGTGTCGTCATCACCATCGCTACTGTGATCTTGTTTGGAGCTAGGGATGGGGACAGGGGCCGCAGAGCGAATGCCGGGAGGAGGTAACGAGGGTAGGAGTTCGTACCAATGACCGGGGATCTGAGTCCCCAATGGAGAACGGGCGAGGATGTCCACTGTTGAGTCGAGCGATAGTGTGAGCTGGCAGCGTGCTTTGGTGAGTCGCTCCTCCATCTTCTCGACGAGAAGGAGTGACTTCTTCACCTCGGAGAGGGCACCATTGGCCCCTCGGATAGCGA